CTAGACGATAAAATATAAATTATCTATGCGGTGTATGTTAGTTTATTGAATTTTAAAGAGAACGTTATTGAAATATATGCGCTCAGATATCTTATCGTATCTGCGTCGTGTGTTTTACGAATTGCAATCACACATTTTACGAATGCACTGGACTTAGAGGTCACATCAGCATATCGTTTGCACTGCATCACTTTTTTTAATTAAGCATGCATAAACCATTAATCACTAACCACCATCGACATTCAGTCTGAGCAAGGCGGTGTAATGGTGGCGCTGTCGTCGCGCTACAAGCGATTTTCTTGCCCCATCATCAAACGGCCTTTTCCTTATTTACATTGAAATACAACAAGACACGTAGCATACAATTTAGTAGACGGTTATCTTTCCTATGGCAACGTTCCATTTCTCACTTGTAAACTAATTTAACATTGAACACTATGTTATATCTAGAGTAACGTTACTCAAATATATGCGTACACTAGCACTATTATGCGAATAAACAAGACAAGATTGGGCTGAATCTCCCGTGAGTTATATTCACTTAGTATGCAAATACGAGTACGAACATAACTTGATTTGTTGGGACCGTGAGGGCATTGATTAAAATTAGTTTGCTTCGGCCCGCACGAAGATATTTATTTTACGTTCATACATTCTGATTCTATCTTAAATGTTACATTAATAACCGAGATTTATACAGTTGTTTTTATTTATTTTTATGTAATGGAAAACCAACAGCTTACAAATCTTAAATAAACAACATGTTAAATTTACAAGAAGCCAATAACAGGTTCTCACTAATAGAAATTCACTAACATAATCTTTCGTCGTTTAAAGGTCATAGCACAATTATGAGCAACAAATGGAGTCTAATTTAAATGCACAACATCATACATTTAATAAGTGAAACTAATAATAATAGCCATAAAGGAAAATAAAAGCAGGGTAAACGCACAACATAATTGTTCTTAAAGTAAATTAAATTACGACACAAAAAAATCTCGACTTAATGCCCGCCTTGCCGATACATAGCTAGTATTAAATAAATCAAAATCATGCTTTTTGCACAGATTATTAAAAATATTACTAGACCGATATAAGAAAGTATTTTTTCCGTAATTAGTTGATGAAGCTGGTAAGTAGAGTAATGCATTCGTTCTAAGGTTAACCGTAGGTGTTCTCAGTGATATTTGCGATAGCAGATCTGAGCAGTCGACATTGCCAGAACAAATTTTCAATAAAAATACAATGTCAGCAATTTCCCGACGCTTTATCAAAGGTAACAGATGATGTTGTTTGCATAAGGATATATAGTCTTCTGAACGGTATTTTCTATGGGTACGATAGCAAAGATATCGTATGAATTTACGTTGAATACTTTCAATCCGTGAAATGTATGTATCATACATTGGATTCCAGACTTGCGAAGCGTATTCAAGCGTACTGCGGACGTAAGTGCAGTACAATATTTTGATTGTTTTAACGTTATTAAACTCCTTAGCAGTACGCATGACAAAACCTAACGCCTTAGATGCCCTAGCTATGATATTGTCAACATGGTTGTTGAATAATAACTTAGAGTCGTAGAAAATCCCTAGATCACGTACAACTGATTGTTTTTGTAGCTTCTGACCTTTAAGGTGATAGCCGAAATGAATTAAGTTTCGCTTGCGTGAATATGTAATGAGGGTACATTTTGACGGATTTAGTTCAAGCTTATTAATAGTACAGTATTCCTCCAATCTTAGTAGATCTTCCTGCATTAATTCAGCATCAGCCTGCGATGAGATTGTGGAAAATATTTTCATATCATCAGCAAAACACAGTAGGTGTGATGATTTAAAACAGGTTTCAATATCGTTAACAAATATCAGAAATAGCAACGGTCCCAGTAAGGACCCCTGTGGTACGCCACTTGGTATTGACACCCAACCTGATATATAATTGTTAACAACTACAGCTTGCGAGCGATTGTCGATATAAGAGGAGAACCACCGCAGTAGGTCTCCACAGATACCAACATACTGAAGTTTTTTTAAAAGCAAATTATGTTCAATCCGGTCGAAAGCTTTACTATAATCTGTATAAACAACGTCAACTTGATGACCATCATTCATGGCTTTAGTCAAGAATGAATTAAAAAGCACCAAGTTGGAAACGGTGGATCTACCCTTGAAGAAACCATGTTGAGACTGGATTATACTTTGTTTGAGTAACGGATACACCTGCTCATAAACCAACTTTTCAAAGACTTTGGAAATAATGCACAACTTAGAAATTGGCCTATAATTAGTGACATCAGTCCTAAGACTCTTCTTGTGCACAGGGGTGATATATGCACGTTTCCAAATATTAGGAACTGAGCATTCATCCAACGATTTACGAAATAGCAAACTTATTGGTAGTGCTATCGTCTTTGCACAATTAATAAGAAAAATGGCTGGTAGATTATCAGGTCCAGCAGATTTAGATGGATCAAGAGCTTTCAACAACCGACATACGTATTTAGGGTTAACTTCTATTTTTGATATATTTGCGGTTGATGTTGATGCCACATTAGAAATATTTGGAAGAGTTGATTGAGCGCCCTGGTATAAAAAATTTGACTTGAAATAAGTTGCAAACGCGTCACTAATAGACTGACCTGTGTTGTAGATTACACTACCTAAATTGAGACTACTGGGAATAGAGTGAGTTTTTGATTTACGTTTAACATATGACCAGAAATATTTAGGATTTTTTTCTATTGAACTTTCAACGGTTGATATGTAGTTTTTATGACACATATCTTCCAAATATTTGACACGAGTGCGTAGTATTTTATACGATTCTTCATCGGATCTATTACCGTAGGTCCTGAATTTACGAAGATACTTATATTTTTCTTTAATTGCTCTCTTTAATGCTGGGGAATACCATGTATGGTAGAACTCCGGTTTAATTATTTTTGACGGTATATGCTTATCTCTTAATTTCTCAAATATTTCATAAAAATATTTAATGGAATTATTAAGAGATTTCGAAGAGAATTCGGTTCGCCTATCAATTTCAGCATATTTTTCATTAATTGATTGATAATCACCTTTATTAAATAGAAACTTAATAAACGGAGTAGTTTTAAGTATGCTTAGCTCATAAAAACGTACTTCCATTACTAACGCTCCGTGAAAGGGATCTACTGGTACCAAAGAGTCGTCACTACAATCGGATACGGCTACATCACAGTTAGATAATACAAGGTCGAGTGTCTTACCATATTTATTGCGTATACCATTATATTGGCAAAAATTAAGCGCATTAATTTCGTCAACTAGTAACCGTTCGTGGTGCGCACTATAGTTAATTGGCTCATAGCAATAATTACAAGAGTTGGAACAGTTGGAAGCGGGTATCCATTTTATGTTGCTTAAATTAAAGTCACCCACTATAAGATACTTATCCGTGGGATATTTTAAGACTGTATCATTTAATTTCGTAAAAAAATTCAATAACTGGTCCGAAAAACTAAAGCTTCCATGTAAATTAAATAAATATAAAACACAAATATGCAGAGAAGTAGGCATTTTACTATCGCTTTTTCTAACAGTAAGTGTGAGCCAAAAATCTTCAGCACTAGAGTTAAAGGTCGGTTGAGGTACAACAGACAGCTCTCTGCGTGTCGCAATGAGCACACCGCCCCCGTACACTTGGCCCGTCCCAGCGTAATCACGATCGCGGCGCCACACAACATAACGACTATCAAATAACTCAGAGTTCGAAATACCATCCAGAAGCCACGTTTCAGTTATAACAATGACATCATATTAAGACAGGCAGGTTTTACGGTAGAAATCAGATGTTTTAATACGCAGACCTCGTGCATTCTGGTAATAAATATTTAATAAAGAACTATTCGTGTTATTAATTAAATTGTTAGCCATTATGAATCATTAAATTAAAAATAAAATATAAACAAAGTATAATTAAAATTATAAAACTAGATAATATGCAGAAAGTCTTAAAATAATAACTAAAATTCCTTATTTTGATTTTAATTACAAACTCGAATAGTAAATCAACATCGTAAATAATTATCACGTTAAAACAGTGCTGTAATAGTAAATATGTAATTAAAAAAATAAAAATAGTATCAATATCATTCAATAACATAACGCAAAAAAGAATAGCGAGAAAGCCAAGTCTAGTATTAAAAGAATTGATTAAAGTGTAATGAAAAAGCAGGCTTTTAAGAACATGAATGTTAATGCAACGAAAAATTAAAGTTATTAAACTAAGCGGAATGCAGAAAGTCTTAAAATAACTACATAAAAATATATTATTTGTATTAGGGTTAATAGCATGATAAGAAAACAAACCAACACAAAAAAAAAAATTAATAAATCAAAACATTTCAGCAGCGTGGAAAAAATACAATCAACATCATTCTGTACCAAATAGGATATAAGAGCGAAAAGAGCGAGCACAATATGCATACGGTTACCTAAAATATATCGATAAGGCGGGTAGAAACAATTATGCGTCAAGCAATATATCGAACAAAGAGTTTTAGAAAAAAACACAGAATAACAACAGCGATACATCGGCAAAGCAGGGGTTGTAAACATTTCATTACAAATGTAATTTACGGCAGAAGCAATTAAGCAATACGTAATTAAGCTGAGACATAAGTTAAGCAAATTATACGTTTGGAGGCAGATTAAGCTAACTTGTTTAAATCACTATCGCTTATGATAATCATAACCCTCGTAGTATCGTTTTTTCTAACATGAATTTTACAATACTTTACCCAAACGTATTGATAATCCTTATCTTTACAAATAGCTTTGGTTCTAGTTAACAATGCCTTAGAATACGGTGTTAAGTGATCATTAACATACAGCCGTTGTTCGTTACCCACAAACCCAATGTCTTTCGCTGTCATAAACTTCTTACTTCGCGCCGAAGCGACAAATTCTTCCTTTATGTAGCGGTTGATGAAGTTGACAATAATAGATTTATCCTTACCAAAATGTGTCGGCACCCTTGCTATGTAATTTATTTGATGTTTCCGGGATCGTGTAACCAACCTGCGTGCATATGTTATCTACTATTGAAAAAAGGTTTTCATCTCTCTTTAGGGGAACTCCCTTTATCTCGACATTGTTAAGTCGCGACCATTGTTCCTTAGTAGCTAACTCCTTTTTCAGGGCCACTATTTCAGAGAGAGTCGAGTCAAATGTTACTTTTATTTGCTCCATATTAGGTATCTTGGATTCAAGATCAGTTATTCTGGACTCACAGTTAATTATTTTTTCACTATTAAATTCACAGGATGATTTTAGCTCTCCTATTTCACGCCTAATGCTTTTCACATCATTAATGAGTGCTGGTAGACAGTGAAGCTGTAGTTTTAAGTCACGTATTTCCTGCAGAACCAAATCAATCGAAGCACCCCCATCATTGATAGGGATCGACGGCGACGTGGTTGGCGTTGGCGTTGAAGGGGCGCATAGAATGTTCCGACAATAAGAACACCTCCACGCAGCCCTTCGGTCAGCACCCAACTTTCTGTACCCGGCTTCGGTTATATTAGAGCAGCCAAAACAAAGTTGCTTTTTACACGATCCACATTTAACGCCATCATTAAAATCCGTATTGCATAGTGCACAATGCATTATTATAAAGAAATACTTTCGACGTAAACAAATAAGATATTCTAATGTAAAAAAAAATTCTGATAGAAAATGAACTAAGCAGAACGTGTTTGTAACTCCTGATGCTCAGAACTCGTTTCAATTAATACTGACACGTGCTATCTCTAAGTGTAAACAACGACAACTGTGAGTGTTCTCGTATTTAGATCACAAAGAAGTATTTTTTTATAGAATTAGGACGACAAGCGACTCACAGTCTATCTGATGATAATATTGAATGGTGTGGCTCATTGACATCTATATTTATTCTCGATTAAGTATCGAAATGCGGATTCGTTGTCACTTCTGAGCACTAAGAGGTAATGCCTCGTTGCTAGTAAAAAAAAAATTCTTTGATTCTCTACACTCACCATAGGAGACACGGCAACATTGAGCTGGTATTTGACGCTGATATTCCGTGAAAGCGTGGTCCTACCCCGGCCAAGGCGACCCATTCGTGCTGCAACCATAATAGAGGTGCAGCGTGGCTCCACCATAAGGATTTGTCTTGATCGTCACATTTGGCGGATTGAAGGTCGCAGTACTAGATGCGAGCACTGTTGACGTTGCTGCACGTCGCTGGTCTGCACAGCAGTGGTAGTAGTATAGGGTGGGTTCATATTCATTTTTATAGGATATTAAGGATACTGATACTTATACAAAATTGGCCCGAAATATTGTAAACTTTGGCCCGATAACCCTTATTTTAAAAATATCACGTTTTTATTACTTTTCAATAAATGAATAGCGACTAGTTATATATAAAAATTTCATTCTTTTTTTTTCATTCTTTTTTCTACTTATTAGAAGCCACACATTGACCACAATCTCACCGGGTGGTAAGTGATAATGAAGTCTTCACATTCTAGATGCCTTCATTCCTAATTCAATAGGTTGTCATAATTGTAGTCTTTATTATTATAATTCTTATTCTATATTTTTAATTTTATTGCTAACGTTTTTATCCTTTTGCGCATACCTCCTTTGTGAACCTTTTATTCAAGGCTAGCAATAAATTATAATTAAATATATAAAAAATATGGGTTGAGCGCTGGTTTGATACAAGCATTAAGGTCTCTTTATAGGGACTCTAGTGCTTGTGTCAGGATCAATGGGGTCTACTCGGACTGGTTTGGCATCCAAAAAGGTGTCAGGGCTGTGTGGCTTCCCCCTTGGCTGTTCAACCTATTTATGGACCGGTGTTTGCAAACTTTGAAAGATGAAGAATGGGCGAGTTAACCGTCAAATGCCTTTTGTATGCCGATGATCAAGTCATACTTGCGTCATCGGCGGCAGAGGTGCAAATGATGGTTACATTAATGAACTGGGAATTAAAAGAAAGGGGAATGAAAGTGAACGCAAGTAAGACGAAAGTGATGGTTTTTGAAAGAGAAGAAAGCAAAACGGTATGTGAAATAAGAATAGAAGGGGAGAGTTGATTGAGCAAGTGGATGAGTTTGTGTATTTGGGATGTGTATTTAGCAGGGATGGTAGATATGATAGGGATATAGAACGACGAGTAAATGCAGGGAATAGAGTGAATGGGGCATTACACTCTATTATGAAGAACCAGAATTTGTCAAAACAGGCACGTATGGTAATTCATAATGCTGTGTTAGTCCCTACTTTAATGTATGGTAGTGAAAGCTGGGTGTGGCAGAAGAAGCACGAAAGTAGAATAAATGCTGTAGAAATGCGGTCTTTAAAGGAATATGCTAGGGTGTAATCTGAATGACAGGGTGAGAAATTGCGTGATAAGAGATAAATGTGGTATGCAAGATGATGTTGTGACCAGGATTAAGAAAGGAATGCTTCGGTGGTTTGGTCACGTAGAAAGAATGAATGAGGAAAGAGTGACAAAGCAAATTTATATGGCAGATGTGAATGGCCGAGTCGGGAAGGGACGCCCTAGGAAAAAGTTTATCGACCAAATTGGCGATATTTTGAAAATGGGCCACGTTAGAAGTACCCTTAACCGACGAGCATGTATGCGTAGATATATGGATGTAAAGGAGGCGAAAGAGGTATGTCAGGATCGTGCCAAATGGAAGTCCGTAGTCTCTGCCTACCCCTCTGGGTGACAGGCGTGAGTGTTTATATATATATATATATATATATATATATATATATATATAAAAAATGTTATTATATATTAGGTAAAATATTTCCGTATATTCTTTAGAACATAATTATTTTGATTTAAGTTCTGCTTTCTTATTTAACTTTTATACCTTAGCAAAAATCTTATAAATGAAAAAGATCCCATTTAGTTTCGAGTTAATCCCTTAATCTGTAGCGATGTGGTTCATTTAAAGCATTAAAGAAAATCTTAATTTTCTTGGTAAATAACTATTAAGATCGAACGGACGACCTTTTTAACAAGTTTATATTTAAATATATTTCTAAACCAACATCAGCCAATAGGTTAAGTCTAAGTGTATTTCAAAACTAAAATGTCATAGATTCAAATCTACAACTCGAATGTTGTAAACCAATTCCAGCAAAAACATTATCAGTTGGGCTTGAAATTAATAACGAAATTCTTCTTTATTATCGGACCTTGAAAGTCCAAAACTGGACATGAGCCCACTCAAATAGGTGACAAATGAGCACACAGTTCACCTGATGATAAGTGGATCCTGTAGCCTCTAGACATCTACATCAATTCTTGTTTCAGATCAAATACAGACGCGTTGTCACCCCTGAAGAGTGAGATGGAGTTTCTCGTTATCAGTAAAAAAGGTATCCGCTTCACTATACCAGCATACAAAACACAACAGTATTGTTTCACGTTGGTATTCTGTGAGAGCTGCCTCGTCAGTCTTTTGGTCTTATAATCGGTTGCTGATCATTTGGTTTTTCTGTCAAGAAATTTACGGTAGCTGCCCGAGGTCAGGAAGTTGGTGGTGTTTCACGCCCGTGCCTCAGAAAGCGCGTGTAGCAGTTTGTCCTACGCCTGATCTCTCTCCGATCGTGTTGGCTAACCATTCCATCGTACTATGATAGTAAGTGAATAGAAAGCGTACGTGTGCTTGCGCATGCACTCGGGCACTAATACTGTCCGGCGCAGATGGCTAGTCTCCGGTGATACTGATTGCCGTGATTGAAATTCGGTCTGGAGGATATAATATTATTCTATGAAAGCGTGTTACTACCACGGTAGAGCCAATCCATTCATGCTACCACCATAATAGCTGCAGCATGTCTGTACTACGTAAGTAGTATGTGTAATGCTTAAAAAATCACAGATACATTTTATAATACAAAGTTAAAGTAGCATTAAGAATACTTGCAAATCTGTAGATGTGCACAATTCCAATGGAACATAACCACATTTATCTATGTACTTACCTATCAAGCTCTCAGCTGGGAGTCTACATCGGAGTCTAGGTACGCACGCACCCATCATAAATTCCTGAACAACATGTGACGCCCCACCGATGCTCAGTAATTGCATCGCGGTCGCGGGGCGGGCTGGTTTTACCGTCAAACCTCACTTACAGGAGAGTTAATATTTATACCATGGGAACTGGATTATAAATACCAAGACTTTTATGATAACTGACTCTGAAATTTGTTCTTTCTTCTGCTTCTTACTCCTGCTGAGATACTCCTGCTTTGCAAGCGTATTAACGCCTCTGTGGGTATTTTACGTCGTGCGTAAACGGTAAATTTAAAAAACACAAATTTATTAATATTTAAATTAAATAAAAATTAAATAAATTAATTATATAAAAATTAATATTTAAATTATATTTGCATTTTTAACCAATAATACAAAAATATAGAATAATGTAAGTAATTTAATTTTAAATCTTTAGAGGTAAAAACATTATAAATTACATCACCAAAATTTTAATAAGAATTTTAAATACATTCGAAGACCAGAAGTACGTACCATAGTCCCTACTACACCGGCTACACCGGCAGTGGGAGGGACTCAGCCAATTTATATCACGAGAGGGCAATTAGCAACGCTTCGCGTCGTTTGATGTCCGAACATCATTTGGAAAAATTATTTCGTTGAGCGGCTCGCCTCCGGATATATAATAAAAACAATCAACACGTACGATGTGACTATTTTTTGCGAGTACTGTGTGTAGGGCATAATAAAATACAGTACGTAGAGCCCTTTTGATGTTAAGTGCTTTGTTACTGATAATGTTTTTTTTTTTTTCAAAATCCCGATATTATTTTCGTTTTATATCACGTTGTTGAGGATTCAATTTCTTTATTTGAATAATTCATATGGTTATGTTTTTTTTTAAATATTTAAAGGATTGCCAGAGACAGTAGTTTAATGCATTATTTACGTAGGTGTAGGAATATCAAACAAAATTTCACATTTAATTTATGTATCAGCGAAATTCTTAAAGCATATAAGCTCTTCTAGTTACGAAGATGCAAGACTGAATGATTGAACACCTATGATGTTTTATCGTCTGAGTTCTTATTTGCATGGATATAGAAGCACAAAAGCCCTTCATCTGCGATCCCACCACTGCTGACATCTCACCCGGTTTCCTTTCTATTAAAGTACATTTTTTTAATGCAATTCCGTAAAG